AGTAGTAGTAGTAGTAGTAGTAGTAGTAGTAGTAGTAGTAGTAGTAGTAGTAGTAGTAGTAGTAGTAGTAGTAGTAGTAGTAGTAGTACTAGTAGTAGTAGTAGTAGTAGTAGTAGTAGTAGTAGTAGTAGGAGTAGTAGTAGTAGTAGTAGTAGTAGTAGTAGTAGTAGTAGTAATTATTGTTTTCTTTATTATTATTACTTCATGCTAATATATAATTATGTTATATATCCAGCTTGATTTTTGAAAACGTTACTGCCGAATGTATCTCTTCCGTGAACCTCTTTTTTTTTCGGCCCAAGAGTATCTCCAAAGTAGCCATTATAAAACCAAGAGTGCATGATTCTTGATCTTCTCCAGTTCGTAGACCAAACATTATCGAGAAAGAAAAAACACCTCCTTTTACATTACTTCGTTGGAATGCCCTTTAGCTTACTTTAAGCAGGCACGAAAGGCCAGTGAATTTCAACTTTTCTTCCTATATTTTCAAAAAAAAAAAGGAAACAAAAGAAAAGAAAACATATTGAGCAAACACTCCTAAGTAATGTCTTTTTTTAAAGAGGTTATTACACTAAGAGCTAACAAAATTGTGGCCCTAGCTCGAATTACAATCATTCAAAAAGTAGACTAATTAGGCGCGGATCTAGGCTAGGATAAAAATGCTGAGCGCTGTGCCGAGGGCGCAAGCTTCTAAGGGGCGCCGGTGGTATAACCCCCCGAGAATTTTTTTTGTATTTTAACCTCCCTAAAGTCCACATTCATTCCTCGAATGAAGGATTTGTCCAAACCATTTTCCAGGTTTCAACTTGGATAATTTTTTTATTATTATTAAAATAAACCTCTTGTGAAAAATCCGACTTATTTCCGTAAAAACGGTGTACACCGGTGTGGACATAAATTACTCTTCTTCTTCTTCTTCTTCTTCTTCTTATTATTATTATTATTGTTATTATTATTATTATTATTATTATTATTATTACTATTATTATTATTATTATTATTATTACTATTATTATTATTATTATTATTATTATTAAAAATCTGTATTTTTTCACTTTCTCAACTTGCAGAAAGGCTGTGTGGCTCTTCTGTATCTGTGCAGAAAGCACAGTCCAACATGTGCTGGTGAATTATGCTGCTTCGTTCGCATCAAAAGATGCTTCCAAGCCGTTAAAGGTGGATGAGGTCCACGCGGATGAAATGTTACACTGTTACCATGACAACAAATAGTTGATATCGTTTAAGATGACATACAATCAGGCTCGTTATTCCATTGATATTTTATTTTATTTACTTGTGCAGACATTATTAAGAGAATAAAGATATCTAAGCATGACATAATGAACAGAGTATTTTTCTTGTTAAACAAAATTTCATGGTGTAATATAAAGCAGGATCAAAGCAAACGCACTGCGCAGATAGTTGATAGAAAATCGTGGCACAGAGAACAATACATTGAAAGTAGGAAAGAAATAGCCTGTAAAACAGGCGTCATTTTTTCCCGTTTTCCAGGCGAGCAAGGGAAGCGCGAGGTCAGCGAGGAGCTCCCGACAGGCGCGAAGGGGGACGAGGAGCAGAAAAAAAAATAACAGTTAATAAATGTGGGTTTATTCTTTCTGGTCTGATCCCCCGACAACTTGTTGGAACTTCTATTAAGCATACGTGCTTTTGCGCCAATAGCCTAGTGTTATACAAGCTTCCATCCAGGTCAAAGTATGTCCACTAAGATACTGAGACCTTACGTTTTAAGATACACATAAGTGCAGTGCTGCATCCTGAACGAAAATTTTAAATACCCACTGTAGTCTCTTAATCAGCGAGATCAATAAGATGTAAGTCGGAAAATTCTCAAAGTTCTAATTTATTAGGGTAATCAACACGGCTGAGTTTTGAAGTGTTCACACTTGAAAACTTCCTCGGTTATATTGAAACTGAACAAAACTGTGGCGTCCAGAAGATCGTGTTGCAAGACTTCGAAAAAGAATTACTTGCATTACTTGCAATTCGCAGCCGAGACGATCACTTTCAGTCGAACCGTGAATTGTTGACGGTCATCCTTACCTCATCATCAGCACCAAAAACTGAAAAACTAACCGTGCTCGCAACCGCTTCATTCCCCGCTAACAGCTTCTTTTCGATCCCAATTGTCCTTCTTTCCCCCTACATCAATCTCATCCCCACAGGCTGCGAGCCTTTTCCGCTCTGCTAGCTGGAAAAGGGTAATGAAGGCTCTGGGAACGAGATTGTCACTAACCGGCCCAATGGAAAGGATGTGTTTTCTCTTTTGGTATCTTTCCTATGATGCCCTGCATGCTCTGCGTTTCGCACTACATGACATGCACGGATGGTAGATCCTCATGAGATAAAGAACAACAAGCAGAGAGAATTATAATGCCAGCCTAACAAAGGTTTGGATCAATTTAGGCTTCTGGGAAACTGCCCACCTACCCCTCATACGAAGGCAGCGTGAACGAGAGGTTAAAGCGCTGGAATTGTAATCCGGAGGCCCCCAAGTTCAATCCCCTCCCTAATGCATTACCTTCATTATTATTAGTTCTAATAAACTGGGAACTGTCGGCAGTTTTTTCAGTCTGCGTTTTATGTTCAATGCCATATCCGTTTGGATTGCTCCGTTTTCCTGTTGTTTACTGTTAAAGCCAGAAAGGTGAAAGTGACCCTGGGAAGTGTGTGGAAATGAAACATTTTTAGTAGAAAAAACGTAAAACAAAGTTGCAGTAGCACTTGCGATTCAGGGGCCCGTTTCTCGAAAGTCCCGATAATTAACGGGCCAGGTAAGCGGTCTCCGTTTACATTAAAGATCGAGGTTCCAATAGTTTTGTATCTAGCATGATAAAACTATCAGTTAGTGAAACAAAGTGGAGTAGTTTGCTAGCCAGGACCCGCGCTCTTATTCTTTATATTTCGATTTGAATATTTGATTTCGCGCCCGAAAAGTTACCGGGACTTTCGAGAAACGGGCCCCAGATCCCGACTTTAAGTAAGTGGTATCAAGTCTTCATAAAAAACAAGAACTCAAGGTGGAAAACCTCAAGCACTTGAAGTTGGGGATTATGTGGTTCTGTACCAGAACATGGTCAATCGAAAGCTCCCTAAATGTTAAAAAGATTTAAAAGTCTAAAAACCAGTTTTTATGATGATTTCAGTGCATTTTGTTTTTATTTCCTTTGCATTTAGTTAACCGGATGCACATCTTGGCTTTTACAGAATTTATTGAATACATACTTTCTCATTTCTTTTTGTCGCCAGCAGTAAATCAGAGGATTAATAAGCGAGTTTAAGTAAACAAACGTGCGAACCGTCGGCCCAATTGTTTTACGCAACTGATCATGAGTCATTTGCGCCCAAAGTTCTTCCGCTACAACTCTCAAAAAACTACTTACTAATAGCCATGCAGCGGCGGGGGTCAGACATAACAGAACAGCTCCTACTACATAGACAGTTGTCTTGAGCGCTTTTCTGTCTCTGAGAAATCTCTCTTTTTCTTCTTGCGGAAGTTGTCCGGTTTTGATCTTATTTTCATGCCGTCGCGTTTCTCTATACAAAATCACGTAAGAAACCAAAATGAAAAGAACACATGAAGTTAAAACAAGACCTGTAAAAGCGTTTGTAAATATTGTTTGGTCCGTAATAAGTGTGCTTGTTCAGAGCAAAGACAAACGATCCAAAATGCGATCACCGCCACCTTGATGTTTCTGTTTGTGACAACGTACGGGTATCGCATTGTAAATTTGATCGCTACAAGTCTCTCCAAAGTCACCAACATCAGGTGCAGCGCGGAACAAACGTACAGGACGCGCGAGGCGAAGTTCTGGTAATAGACTGAAATGCGGAGGTAGCTGGTCATACGTAGTAGTTTCAGTGTCGTTGCTAAAGATAAAGGCCGGCTGTGCTGAGAGACCATTCATGGCGTCCGTTACTGCTAAACAAGCCAACAAGATATTGGGTTTACTCTGAAGGCGTGGTCTGCTTTTCACCGCCAAAATCACCAACACGTTAAGCAAAACCGTGAAAGGACAAGTGATGCTGTTGAAGATGATGCTAATGATATAACTAGCCTTAGCTAGGGAAGATAACTCTTGGTCCACAATAGTGTTTGAAAACTTGCTGGTCAAATTTGAACTTGAAACGTTGGCCATGAGGACTAAGGGTGTTATAAGACAACTAAATTTTCAGTTATGGCTTATGTATATTCCTACCTTGATTGTTATCCTTAACTGACGATTTTGCTCCATTAGGCAAGTTTTTACCGACGGTCAATTAGTAGTTTTAAACAAACACATTTCTTTACCCACTTCAGATAATTGTAGCCCATTAAGCAAATCATGATTTTCCAGGAGAGAAAGTCTTTAATTACTTTCATACTAGAGTGTTACTTGCTAACTTATCGTCAATTTTTTCGCTCTTTATAAATTATTCCCTAACTGCTTTTCCGTCACTTCGGCCTCCAAACCTGAGTCAACTTATTGGCTTCGCTCAAAGCACCGCTCTTTCTTTAGCATCTGAATATGTACTTAAAACTACTATTTTTATTGTTTTGCACTATTAGCAGATGAAGATTTACAATATATTACTATATTACTATATCAAATGCGGTAAATGTGCGCGGTGACCAAAGTTAAGTAGGTAAAGGCGTTCCAGTTGGTCTTTGCAACATGTAAATAACTGGCGAAAACATGCACGTAAATTTACAAGGAATGGAAAAAAAAGGAAAGTGAAAATCTCACTAACATCTTTAAATAAGAAGCCATAGATAATCACCTGATAATAGTAATAATTATTAATAACAAGCAGCTGTGGCAAATAAATCAAATTACATTTAAGAAATAGATTTGATAGTAACAAGGTAGCTCGTAAAACTAAGTGGTTGTTAGATCAAAGAAAATGATGCCATTAAAAAAAGAATAAGAAGAAAAGGTTTCCTAGCGCAGAGAAAGCTCTTTGGTATATTTTCTTACACTAGCGGTAAAAAGTAAAGTTGCGCCTCCATTAAGCGGCTTCCTATTAAGCGGCCAATCATCAAAGTCCAGAAATAATTGTAAAACAGAATGGGAACTTAAACTACGTTTAAATCTCTCTTTCCTTCTTGCGGAAGATGTCCGGCTTTGATCATATTTTCATGCTGTCGCATCACGTAAGAAAGTGAAGTTGAAAATGAACACATGATATTAAAAAAAAAAACTTGTTATAAGGCGTTTCATGATTGAATCGGTTGGAATTACACGTTTAGATGATGGAGAACCGATCCAAAATTCAATCACTGCCACCTTAATGTGTTATTTGTGACAATGTAAGGGTTGTGCAAGCACGGTGAATTTGATCACTAGAAAAAAAATTCGAAGAAGGCAGACGGTAGTCTCTCCTAAGTCATCAATATTAGGTGGTGCGCTGAACAAACAAGCATGACACGAGTTGTGTCGTTTTGAAGAGAGGTGAAAAATGAAAGAAATTGGTTTATTTAAAGAGCTTATGTGTCGAGGCGACGGTGAAGGCTGGTTGCGACATTAGACCACCAATGGGGTCTGTGACTTCTAGACAAGCTAGCAAAATGTTTGGTTTGGTTCAAGGGTGCGGTCTGTTTTTCACCCGCCAATGTCACCAACACGTCCTTGCTGGTCAAGTTTAAACTTCAACGTTTGACATCATGACGATAACTGATCAGGCTGTGATAAGACATAATTCCTATCTTAATTTTCATTCATGCTTGATAATTTTTCTCCATTAGACAAATTTTTACTTAAGACCAAATAGTAGCTTTACACTGACAAATGCTTTTCTTTATCCACTTCAGATAATGTTTTTCAATTCCGTCGGCAATTTTTCCCATTAGAGATCAATTCATTAGTAACTTTTTAGCAAGTATGTTGCCGTGATAAGCTTTTGTCAATTGTATGTTAATTATTTTTAAACTGTAATTTCGCCACTTTGGCTGACTAGCCTTATTAAAAGTTCAAAGCACCGCTTTTCCGCCTTTTGTATCTAAATATCTACTCAAGACCAATTACATTAAAAGGAAATGGTTTTCCATTTTTCTGTCTTTTTAGTGTGATTCCAATTCTCGTTTACAAAGGTGGCCAAAACTAAGCGCGGAAAAGTTTGCTTACTCGAAGGAAAGAACAAGTTAAGTACGTGAATACCGTGCTTGTTTTGACTCATCGCTTTAAGAACGACTTATGTTACATGTGTACTCACATGCTAGGGTTTTTTTTTTGACGGGAAAACGAAGAGGCTATGTTTTGATCTTTTCATCCACTGGCTGATAAAACAAGTGAAGAACACTTACCGAAACCATTTTTCAAGGTCATACGAAAATTGCTCTAGTTGTTTTAAGAATGATGGCATTTATAACACTAAGCGTTGAAATGTAATGACTACTGTGTACAGTGTACTCTGAAAGGGTGATTTATTTTCTACCGCTTCACACTAATGCAAAATGTAATCTTTAAAAAGCCTTAAAAGATAGATGTCCTTTAGCTAGTGACAATGACTAAACTTTAAAACTTTTTAAGACAGTGAATGGTGATCTCTCAGTAGTGAATGTGGGTAATAAATTATTTATGATTGCGAAAAAGTTGCTATGGTTACATTCCGAAAAATGTACTCAGATTTAATTTTTTTTTTATGATAGTGACATTTTTAATCTTATCCTGACTCTTTGAGTCCATTGAGACTGCTTCTCAAGTCCATTAAATAAGTTAAATCATGCTAAAACTATTTACACTTGATTAATTTACAGCAAGAACCTGGCCCCAGTGAGTTGTTCAAATGCTGGATAGCGCTATCCACCGGATAGAATCCGGATAAATCACTATCCAGCGGACAAGTATTGCATTACCCATTGGATAGAAATTTATCCATGCAGAGGGTCGCTTTATCTACCCTTTGAACAACTGAGGCAAGGACAAAAGTGAAGGAGATCACTTCTCAACGGATAAACCACTCTTCTGATCTTAGAGTCTAAACGGAACTCTTCTTTCTGCTCTTAAGTACTTAGCAATCCTTGGCCGGCTTGCAAAATTCTCATAAAACGCTTTAAGCCTTGGGAAATTAGCCAATACATCTATCACTTCTGCTTGGCCATCAAAGGCTAATTTTCCGAATTCAACATAGGTGTCTAACAGATCAAATAGAACATAGTCAACCCAGGTGAGCCGTTCACTTGCAAAGTACAAGCCGTCGATGCCCTCATCGGTAGAATTAACGGGAGCAAGCTTCTCAAAGTATGACAGCCAGGTGAAGACTGTAGACTGAAGGTGCTCATCTCTCTTCTTTACAGAGAAGTTTGTACCGTAAAGAACTGGGCCAAGCTTTCCTCTTAAGTCCTCTGTGAAAAAAAGTAAATAAATAATAAAATAAATAATGCACACCATAACTTCAGCTTGGAGAGAAGAACAAGACAAACAAGATTCCCACAACAAAGGATCAGAGGTATTTGTTTTTCTTTTTTTTTTTTCAAATGAACATTCATGACTGTTATTTATGAAGTTTGATGAAGCACATAACTTTATTCTACAAATATATGTGTTTTGTATTTCTGATGTTGGACTCTCTAAAATTTTCTCTTTTCCTTAAGTTTTCCACTGTTTTATTTATTATTAAATATGACTTTGCACTGAGAAGTTTGCAGGTTGAGTTTAGGGGAAACCTATTCTGTTGCACTTTCTTGAGACACTGGGGAGAATGAGTGCTTAAAGGACAATGATATTGTAAAGGTGATATTATTTTAATACACTTTACATGTATGTTCTCTCTAATTTGCCTTAAAGCATAAGGACTATTTTTAAACTAAGCTGTTTTACCTGCACCAAAAACCAGCATTTCACAGGTATGAATATCTGAACAGTCGCAGTCTAGTCCCACAGACCGACCAATATGATGCATTATGACTGAAGAAACAAAAACAAAAAAATCAAAACAAATTAACAAAACAAAACGAGACAAAAGACAGAAGAAAACAAAGCAAACAAACAAATTTGGTAGTGTTAAAGATTTTTTATTGGGTTCTCGAAGACATTATGTAGTTCTTTAGTCAGTAATATTTTCTTTTGTCTCTTTAGTTATTCGCATTTGCAAGTAATAGATTATGTCCAATGCAAGGTTCCATCCTTTGCTTGTCCTTCAAACTGGACCTAACCAGTTTTCCACTGTGAGAGACATGACATTTTGCACTGTGAAAAAAATAATGGCCACAAAACAGTCCTTGACATGCACTGACTTTTTTGGAAACCAGGCAATGGGCTAGTAAGTGAAATACATGACTAGCCCATGAGGGCAAGCCACTGGTCCAAAAAAAGGCCCAGAAAAAATATCAGGGGGTTAGGAACCAGTCTTCTCTATTCTACTTCCTACATGGCTTCCTTTTTGTGAGTCAGTTGTACAATACTACCACAATGTTGATAGCCTGCAAAGCAGGCATAGTTTGCAGCGCC